CAACCGTCTATCCTCCTCCTCAGTAGTCTATCCCCGGTGTGGTTCAGTGGGTGAGACGACAACTGGAGGAGGGGGAGGAGAGAGGAAGAGGGGGAGGGGAGAGGAAGAGGAGGAGGAGGAGGAGGAGGAGGAGGAGGGAGGAAAAGGAGGAGGGAGGAAAAGGAGGAGGGAGGAAGAGCACGAGGAAGAGGAGGAGGGAGGAAGAGGAGGAGGGAGGAAGAGGAGGTGCTGGTCGTAGTAAGAAGGCATCATTTCTCAAGATGCTACGACGAGACAATAAGCTGACGTCTCTCTCTCTCTCTCTCTCTCTCTCTCTCTCTCTCTCTCTCTCTCTCTCTCTCTCTCTCTCCTTAATCTAACTCCTCTCACTTCCTCGTCCTCTCCCCCACCATCCCTTCTTCCACCCTTCCATTCCTTTTTTATCCTTCCTCTCTTCTCTCTACCTCCTTGTTCCATCATCTCTTCTCCCCTGTCCTTCGTTTGTCCCTGCCTTTCTCCCTTCGATTTTCCCTTCCGTTTTCCTCCCTGATCTGTTCTCTCATCCGTCCGTCCGTCCTAACCTCCAAGTAAGGGAGAGGGGGAGAGGAAAAGGGGGGGAAAAGGGAGGCAAATGACTGAAGTGAGTTGTGAGAGGATCATTTGTCAAAACCTCCTACCTCTTCCCTCCTCCTCCTCCGCCTACCTCTTCCCTCCTCCTCCTCCTCCTACCTCTTCCCTCCTCCTCCCCCTACCTAAGAATCCCCCTCCCATTCTTTTCCTTATGATATCCCCTACTCTAACTTTCTTCCTCCTTCCTGCTCAAGATTTACCCCTCACCTCTATCCCTTCTCAAAATTCTCCCTCCCCCAACTCTGTCCCCTCCCCCTGTCCCCCTCTATCCTCTCAAGACCCCGGGTGAGAAATGGAAAATGAGGAAGGGAGAGAAGTGGGGAGTGAGGAAGGGAGAGGTGAGGAAGGGAGAAGTGAGGAAGGGGGAGAATGTGGAAAGAAGTAAGAAGCAGAAGCTAGTGTGTGGAATGAGGGAGAGGGAGAGGGGGAAGAAAGGAGAGATGAGGAAGAGAGAAAAACGGGAGAGATGAGGGAGAGGAAGGGAGGAGAATGTAGGAGAGAGGGGGGGGCGTAGAGTTGGTATACAAGGAAGTAAACACCAAGAAACACCACTGGTATTCATCAATGTTCACAATACCGAAGTTGACGCCATATAAAAACAATCCCGGTACTCACAAAGGTTCGAAATATAGGAATTAGAACACCCGGTGCTCCTTATAAGCATAAATGTTCGAATTATTGAAGCTGGTATACATCGAACACTCACTTATCCTGTATTCGAATTAAAGTGGCCGTCACAAATGTTCGTTTTAGCGAGGTTACCACATCTTGAAACTTATATAAGTTCGTATTAGTGAAGGTGACAGATCGTGGCCCTATAAGATGTTAGTACAGCGGAGACTACCAAGTACCGGCACAAGTTCAAGGTGGCAAAGTTAACACATTGTGATACTCAGCCAAGTTAACACAAATTTTGAATGAACTCTCTGGGTCTCAAAATGTTCATGTTAATGAAGTTAGGAACACCTTGGTACTCGCAGGCGTTCATATTAGCGAAGTTGGCCGCAAATGAAGTGGAAACCTTCAAAAACTTGAGCATTACCATTCAACCTTCAACCCCGAGAAAGTCGGGGCAAGAAGGTGCCATTCCGCACCTGTTCATACGGTTAGAATGGACGTGTTATACGAGTGATAGAATAATCCTTGTGGCGTGACGTACTGTTTGCCCTCCGACGTCCAAGCAGCAGTATCGCGGGTCCCGGGCCAATAAGGTGCCACTCAACAACTTCCATAAGGCTGGCTTCCTGTGTTATAAGAGTAACAAACTAACCCTCGTGGCTCACTGCACTGTTTGCCCTTCGGATCATGAAAGCAGTATTGCTCGTCTCGGGGCAATAAAGCGTCACTCAACACTATCCACATGGCTGGTTCTCCCGGGGTATTAAGGCTGGAAACCAACCCTTATGGCTTGTCGCGCTGCTCGCCGCCTCGAGTCGTGAGAGTCGTATCGCGCGGCCGCAAGATACACAGTAGCTGGTGTTTGGCAATCAATTATGCAGTGGCAACGCTGCTAGGCAGCCGCATTGGGCACTCTTGGCAACACTGTCGGGCTTTCTGGCTTTGGCTTTGCGGGGAGAAGTGGCTTGGTAACACTACTGGCTTTCTGGCTTTGTAACACAACTGGTTTACTGGCTTAGTTGTAAGCTTAGTCATAGTACTGGCTTAATAGCAGGCTTGGTAACACTGATGTGGCATGGTAACACTAATGGCTTAGATGGTTTGGTAACATTGCTGGTTTCAGTTAGGTAAGAGCCCTTGTTAAAAACTATACCCAGGCATTATCAACATGGTTGAAGACTTTTCCCCTAAAAATTTAAAATATCACCTAAAGATTATCCCCCAGCTTATTTCACCTGAAGATTATCCCCCAGCTTATTTCACCTGAAGATTATCCCCCAGTTTATTGCACCTGAAGATTAGCCCCTAGCTTATCTCACCTGAAGATTAGCCCCTAGCTTATTTCACCTGAAGATTATCCCCAGCTTATTTCACCTGAAGATTATCCCCCAGCTTATTTCACCTGAAGATTATCCCCCAGTTTATTGCACCTGAAGATTAGCCCCTAGCTTATCTCACCTGAAGATTAGCCCTCAGCTTATTTCACCTGATTAAATACCCTAACGATACCTGGGGGGAGGGGGGCTGGGCGGGGCTGGGCTAGGCGGCACTGGTGATGGTAACAGTGACTCACTAACACTGGACCCAGAATCGAAACTGGCCCATCTATTCGAGCATAGACTCACTATGACTAATTAGTAACTTAACCAAAACCACTCTAACCTAACCTAACAAACCATTGACCTAACCTAAACTAAACGTACCAGAGCCACGATTTTAGTATGTAAATAATAATAATAATAATAATAATAATAATAATAATAATAATAATAATAATAATAATAATAATAACAATAATAATAGGCACACGTAAACACTGGGTTTAAAAATCACACAAGAATAAAAATATTCATGAATAAAGAGTAATCATTGAATAGTACTAAACAAACACGTAAACACAAACAAACAAACAGGAAATTAATACGGTGATTCTGGGCGGTGTAGCTGTGAACTCTACCTGTACACGTGAATGTTCCTAAATAGGTAATTATTCACAAACCTCTATAACCTGTGCTTACTGTATACCTGTATCTATAGTTATACCAACGTTACAAAGATAAACAAAGGCAGTAACAGCACACGGCCCCGCCTACCATATATGCTGTGTTATCTGCAACCTAAGTAACTAAATCTTAAGCCACTCTCCAGCTCTTGCCAAACTCCCGAGTGATAGCCAAAGTTTAGAAAAGTTTAGAAGAGTGTGGAAAGTTTCCTTCCTGAGCAGCAATGACGGGCGTTTCACAGAATTAGCGGGATTTTGCTGCCCACTACCGCCTTCTCGCTACGATTAATGGCCGCTTTTGGGAAGGAGTTGGCGGCAGTGGCCCTGAAGAATAGACTCCGTTCTCCCTTACCGTAGTTTTTTTTTTTACCATAATTATCGACCACAGATTAATATTATCATAAACTTAAAAAACTTTATCAGAATAATAGACCTAAGTGAAGCTATATAATTATACACATAGTTTTACTGTCTAGCGCTAAAGATAAACACATGTATAGAATTTACAATACAAATGTAGCATAAAATATTTGCATAATATTAATTCACGTTGATTATAAGAGAAACAACACAGAGTACCTCAACATTCACAAGAGTATTTTGAATATTGTGAAAATAACAAGATACGAGTGCCTCTGACAAAATGTGTGAACAAGTGAGAAGACAAAGAGCATGACAAGACACCAACAATGAGAAGGATAAGCATTCACAACAACATTTAAGGCATGTTAAATAATCACGTTGTTAACATATAAACATTAATGAACAACCTGTTACTCACTATACCTGTAAATGCATTACTAATTTCTACAATAAACACTAAGTACAGTATTGTCGATTTTATACAGTATTACTTCGAGTCGCTAAATCTTATGCACTTTGAATTGCAATCCTGAATATTAAACATTTTCAAATTTTTAAACATTAATTATTCACGATTTTCAGGTTAAAATATTGTTATCGATTTTCAATTTAATTAACATTGAAATCTCACATTTTCAACTCTAAACATAAAGTTGTCTAATTATTAAATAACAGATTTTCGAAATCAAATTACTACGTATTGCCGATTTCCACCCACCATAACCGAAATTCGCCAAGGAAATGACCGACTTTTATCAAGTATGACTGATCTTTCCCTCTAAATGTGATCAATATTTTGCCAGTATAAATAGATTTCTATATAATATGCATTGCCGATTTCTATCAGTAAGTATTACAAATTTTCATCAGTGAATATTAGCACTTCACTAACCACGTATGCATAACCTGACTAAAATGTGTATACTGTATACATGTATGAATACTCCATACATGGCTAATTCGTTGTCTAAATAATACAACTTAAGCATCTGAGACCTGGAGTTTTATGTGTATGAATAGTGTGTATAGTGTCTTGTCTCTGCCTGAACTACATACATTAAGTGTACCCGGACCGTGAGCACTCGAGCCATCCCCCTGCCTGTATGATCACGTGTATGTTGTATGAGCATGCATGACTGGTGAAACCCAGAAACAATCATACACCATGACGTCACACAGTCCAATACAGATGTGTATGAAGGCTATGTGCAAGCGAGTGTATGACAGGGGCATTGATGACACATGTACTGTATGTGTGTGTGTATTTTTGTCTTTATATATAACGAACATCCAGGCTAACAATCGTGTGTGTGTGTGTGTCCTGTGAAGTGTGTGTGTGTGTGTGTGTCCTGTGAAGTGTGTGCGGGGGGGGGAGGGGGGGGAGGGGTGAAGACAAAGTTATACTCACCGTCATTGTTCTTGGGCGCGGGTGGTTTGCGTGTGGCCCAGTTGGTCCTAATGTTGCGCGATCCAATCCACTGTCCGTTCATATTGGTGATGGCCGTCTCAGCGTCCTGCAGGAGGTAAACAAACACTGGTTCACATCCGCTACCCGTACAAGTCTCTTTTTAAGTTTCTATACATATGTACCTGCACCATTAGTTCAGGTTTCTATAAGACCTGATAATTTTGAGTGGTTTTCTATATACACGGATACTTGTGAGGGCTGGTTTCTATGTGTATTGATACCTTTTAGCTGTGGTTTCTATTAGTACTGACATCCATTATACGTACAATAGGATTTAAGGAACTATAAAGCATGAACCTGTACTGTTATTTTAGAGCTCTGGTTTATACCTGGTATCTATATAAATAAATAATTAAATTAAATAAATAAATAAATAAATAAATCAAGCAATCAATCGAGAGAGAGAACATGAAATACTTATTGTTTCTGTCTCACTCTTGCTAAGTCTCTCCGTCTGTTTGGTTCTCTTTAAGTCTGCTTACGTCTGTATGTCTGTCAGTCTGTCTGTCTGTGTGTCTATTCCCTCAGGCAAAGATACAAACAACAAACGAGCCACCACCACCACCACCATAATTACACCAAGACTCCAAACCTGTAGAAAACACAAAAACAATTCTCTTTATTACCATGTCTCTTATTAAGACACTACAGCTCACCGGGGACACTACAACTACCTAAATTATTTTGATCAAAGGTGTCATGATTTACTGCCGCTTAATAACCAGTTGGGAGTCAGATTCACTTGTTTAGAAAATGGATATTGTCCAGGACTGAGTCATTACCCGGCCATTACGGGAGATTGGTATCAAAGTCCTTCCTTCCGTCCTACCAAGACCAGGCTAGTGTTGTGTACTCCAATTACCATTTGTCAACCGCTGTATTGATTTTTTTAACCTAGGGTCGTTTTTTATTTTTTACACGGGGTATTTATTTTAGTTTTTCACGTAGTTATTTGTGTTTATGTAAAGGGTTTTTTGATAAATTTTCAAATTTGTTTTTTATCACGGCGTAATTTATTGTTTACACAGAATTTTCTTATTTACCTGTTGTGTCATAACAAATTAGATTAATAACTCTCTTTACTATCCCTAGGCGTCATTACCCTCAGTACACATCGGTCACCCTCCAGCAGTGTCATATAAGTTCTAAGACACACCACACACACGCAACTAAAATTTTCCACCAATGATTTTCACCATTTTGATGATAAATCTGAAAGTCCAATGACAAAAGAGGTCAAAACTATAAATACTGAAAGTCAAAAACAAAGAAATCAAGACAAACTATGAAAAACAAGTCAAAACTAAACAACGAGGTCAAATTTGTGAAGAGTGAAGCTATTAAATGAGAGGCGAGGGTGTAGAGGGCGATAACACGAGGGATACAAAGTGAGGAAAACAGTTATTAATAATAACTTCATCCCACTGGTGGCCACCCTCCCTCCACGCGCGGGCTTCATCAACCGTATAGTATAAACGCCTGACCCCGGGCGACCAAAACATCAAAGCGCCCTAAAGACCTGTGGTGGATGTGAACAAATTACATCAACTATCTCGGGCAGACGGCGAAGCAGATGCTCGTCTAATGGCCGACTAGGATCCTTGGGGCAGAGACACACAAACAAAAAAATGAGATATATAATGTTATTATAATAGTTACAAAAGATGGGGAATTAACTGTCCCAGAAGAGGGATTCCGAATCTCGTCCGGGATCCTATGTGGTGACGTTATGGCTTCAGCGATGCGCTTTTGTTCTGTGAATTTATACTGGATGTTATTATTGTGGTAGCATCTATAACTTCTCCAAGTGACTCTCGTTGATAATGGCGGGAGTCTAGTCGTGCCGAACACAGAGTTGTTGTAACGAGGTCGTGTGACATGAATAAAACATGCCACTCACAGCCATTTCATCATCATCATTACGGGATAAATAGGAAATGGCCTGTTTCTGGATCTTTCCCTCCGTGACCTCGATAACTGGCACACCCACGACCTCTCTGACAGCGACCTTCACTTCGTGCCAACAAGAGCAACCGACTTTTTAGTCCTCAACATGTTGAATTCGAGAGATCACGTCTTAAGTTCTACAACTCACGACTATTATAAACACTTGAATTTTATATTGCGTGTATCTCTACTGACCACCCTGTTATAGCGACCGTGTCCTCTATATAACAAACACCACACATGCGATCACCCTGTCATAGCGACTATAACCTGTATGACCCCAACCAGATCTACCGGGGAGTGCATGATGAAGGAACAAGTGACCTTAAATTATCTTGACCTTTGACCTGGCAAATCGAACACCATGGAAGCTTGAGTAACGGGTCTGAAATCCAAAAAGTAATTGAATGTCAAAACTACAGCGGCGGGTAAAAATACGAGTCACCGCTCAGATTCACGTTTTCTGCAGCACTCTTATTCTCGTTTTCTATAAGACTGGATCACTACAGTACCCCCGTAGGTAATTAATTATATATAAATCAACCACAAAATTAACCTTACAGCGTTCACTACAAGAAAATGGTCACTTTAATTATGTCATTATTTCTGGTAATGTTGGGTACGAGCACTATTGTAGAGACACTTAGTTTAAATAAATAGTTAAATTGAGATGGATGACGGATAGTGAACAAGGAGAAATTAAAGACTTTATAATTATTTATAGGAAGAAGAGGAGAGAACGAATAAGATAAACAATATAGGACTACGGGGGAGTTATAAATAAAAAGACTAACATGAAAATAAATAAGATAGATATAAATAAGAAAATAAAAGATTAAGACTAGAGGAGACTAGAGGAGACAGACAGGACCGTAAACAATATCCTGACCAGCAGTTGTGGGTAATAAAATATCAAGGAAATGTTAAACTTTCAAGCTGTTACGTCACCAATAATGTTACGTCATCACAAACACACATTGTCACCATGCTAAAACACCAAGTCACCGATACATGGCATTAACATATACTGTCACCTTTGTCACCAACACATACTGTCACCATATCACCATTAAATCACTGTTATGCCGTATCAGTAACAAGTTAAAGGTCTCTAAAGGCACACAAACATTTTCCCCGTATTTACTCGCCATTATTACAATAAAACCTTATATGATGAACAATGGAACAATGTATAAAATGAACTCCTGGCTGTATATAATGTACGTGTATGTTCTTGTAGAAACTTAACTTCACAACAACAGCATCTCGCCCCCACGTCAGAACTAGAGGTTCCACACCGCAGGTAGTTATTTTCCAAACATTAAAATGAACCTCAACATTACAATTGATAAATCTATAAGAAATAAAATAAGGAACAGTTCGTTGAGGAGCACAACGCTGATAATTCAATTTAATAATTATATAATATACTGTGGAATTAACCCACCAAAGAAAATAGACAACGGCCACATGAGCACAAATTAAACTATTTCCCATAAGTCACTAAAACAATGTTACCATATCATCACCAATTCAGTGTTATATAATTATCACCAACACATAATGTCACCATCAACTATCATTGTTATATAGCACCATCACTGTCACATACCAAGCGTCGTTTATTAAGTCATGATGCCTATCACTGTCATACACCATGCCACTTTGATGCATTATGTCACAAATGCTGTCATTATTATATGTCACATTTCCTGTTAATTTAAGATGTCACAACCCCGGTCTCCAACGTCTACCATCATCATTGTCATACGTAACGACCCTTGACCATGTTTTATATCACTACTCCTGTTCAAGTCACGTCACCACTACTCCTGTTTAAGTCACGTCACCACCACTCCTGTTTAAGTCACGTCACCACTACTCCTGTTTATGTCACGTCACCACTACTTCTGTTTATGTCACGTCACCACTACTTCTGTTTATGTCACGTCACCACTACTCCTGTTCAATTCACGTCACCACTACTCCTGTTCAATTCACGTCACCACTACTCCTGTTTATGTCACGTCCCACTACTCCTGTTTATGTCACGTCACTGTTTATGTCACCACTACTCCTGTTTATGTCACGTCACCACTACTTCTGTTTAAGTCACGTCACCACTACTCCTGTTTATGTCACGTCACCACTACTCCTGTTTATGTCACGTCACCACTACTCCTGTTTATGACACGTCACCACTACTCCTGTTTATGTCACGTCACCACTACTCCTGTTTATGTCACGTCACCACCACTCCTGTTTAAGTCACTTCACCACTACTCCTGTTTATGACACGTCACCACTACTTCTGTTTAAGTCACTTCACCACTCCTGTTTATGTCACGTCACCACTACTCTTGTTTATGTCACGTCCTATCACTGTCCAATGTCATGTTCCCTATCACTGTCCAATGTCATGTTCCCTGTCACTGCCCACTGGCACTGTCACATGCTACGCCCTGTCACTGTACAATAACCCCAAAAGCTTTCATGATCAAGACAATGTTTAGTAATATTTAGCGACATGTTCAATATCATATCTAGTATACTGTATCATTGTTCATTGTTCAGTGTTAAGGTGAACAAGCTGTGAATAATTCCACACGCGGTTGGATCAATAAGTCAATATTTACTAAAGCAAATAACGCCAAGTAGTCGAAGGCCGGACAGAACACAACACATTCAGAACACAAAGAACACAAAGAACATACAGAACACATAAAGAACATACAGAACACATAAAGAACATATAGAGCACACATGAAGAACATACAGAATATATAAAGAAAACAACAAATACAGAATACATAAAGAACGTATGGAACACAAAGAACACACAGAACACAGCTGAAGAACATACAGAATACATAAAGAACACACACAACACATATACAACACACAAAAGAACACACATACAGAAGACTCAACACATACACAACATAAAGAACATACAGAATACATATCGAAACACACAAAACACACACGCAACACACCTACAGAACACAGACAGGAGACAACACATACAAAACACCGAAATAGCTCAGGGGGGGGGGGGGATGACAAGCCTAACACACCCCCCCCCCGACCATACAGACC